AAAAACCGGAAAAATGTTGTTCGGGATGTGCTGCTTAATGTTAAGGAGTTCGTCTCTGGTAAAACTTATAGAAGAAGAATGACAAAACACAGAACAAACAAACAAAAACAATAGAAGAATTGCGGAGCTTAGCGTCCTTGCTGCTATTTGCGGCGCCACGCTGATGTCATCTCATGATCATTTCATGATCCCTCTTATTTTGTTTCAATTATTAAGATTTTGCACATTCTGCAAGGGGTATGTAAACTTATGAGCACAACTGTATATTAAAATAGAATACTGTCATTAATATTGTGATAATATCGTTACTGTACTATTTTAATCAAATAAATGCAGTCTGGGTGAACGTAAAACTTTCAAAACACTAAAAAATATTACAGATCACAAACCTTTGAACAGTAACGTACACTTTTAATCATGCTATACTGAAATGTATGTAGTTTAAAACAATCATATATATATATATATATATATACATATACATATACACATATACATCGACATATACATATATATATATATTAGGGGTGTAACGGTTCACAAAATTCACGGTTCGGTTCGATACGACACAGTGGTGTCACGGTACGTTTTCGATACAGCATAAAGAACGAAATGCCAAAGAAATTGCCTTTTAACTTTTTTAAATTTATTAAAACTTACATCATAAAGTATTCTTATTTTATTATTTTGAACAATGCAGCGTGCAGAACAACAGTAGCTCAGATCAGCGACAAGAGTCAGGTTTAATTTATCACGCGAGGAGAGTGGAGATGAATCGAGCTGATGAGAAAGACGAAGTTGGCGAAAGATTTCGTTTTGAGAAAAAATACAAAAGCGCCATGCTTTAAAAATATTTTAGACTTTGGAAGGCCTTTTAGACTTTTGCCGTTTATCTAAGATGATTTTGGAAGCCTTTTTTAACGTTCGTTTCTTATTTATTTGTTTGCTGATTTTCAGTGTTGTATATTTAAACTTTGTGTAAGTTATTTGTTATTAGGGCTGGGACAATAAATTGATGCGTCGCGATTCGTGGATCAATTCTGAGATTTTTCGGAATACATCGTGATTCTCTCTCGAATTGATTCTGAGCTTAGAGAGAATCGCGATGCCTTCGAAAAATCTCAGAATCGATTCAGAATAATTTCTTGATTTGCGATGCATCGATTAATTGTCCCAGCCCTATTTCTTATTTTATATTAGGCCTACAGCATGGTGTAGGCTATTTGTATAGGTTTTGTTTATAAATGAAACATTCTGTTTAATATAAGTGAGATTGTCGTACTGTTTTGTTTTTGTCAATTCAATCAATTGATATCGAATTGCCGCTAATTTGAAAGTGAAAGTAAAATGTCTTAAGTCGCTTGGGTATATTTTTAGCAATAGCCACAAAACAAAATTATAAATTTTTCTTTTATGCCAAAAATCATTAGGATATTAAGTAAAGATCATGTTCCATGAAGATATTTTGTACATTTCTTACCGTAAATATATCAAAACTTAATTTTTGATTAGTAATATGCATTGCTAAGGACTTCATTTGAACAACTTTAAAGATGATTTTCTCAATATTTAGATTTTTTTGCACCCTCAGATTCCAGATTTTCAAATAGTTGTATCTCAGCCAAATATTGTCCTATCCTAACAAACCATGCATCAATGGAAAGATTATTTATTCAGCTTTCAGGTGATGTATAAATCTCAATTTAAAAAAACTGACCCTTGTGACTGGTTTTGTGGTCCAGGGTCACACACACACACGCACACACATACACATATATATATATATATATATATATATATATATATAAAGTGAATATTCAGCTAAACACATTATTTTGAGTTTGTTTGATTCTTAATAGTCTATCATGATCATCACATTTTACTAAAAACTCAAAGGCTTTGACTGACATGAGTGCAGGTAAATGATGCCGGAATGTTTATTTTTTGGGTGAACAAACACAATCACACAGAAAGCAGTCTGATTTGTGTCGAGCTGAAGGTCTGACCTGCGGCACTGCTCGACTGCCAGCTCTTGGCTGCGGCTGGAGGGACTCCGTTGCCCTGCCTCGGGGCTCCAGCGGCCGCGTTGCTCATGGTTTTGACTGAAGACGTGGCATTAGAACTGGGCTGAAGCTCCTCTGTGGCCTCGCTGGAGAGAGAGACAGAGAGAAAGTGACTTGCAGTGCTACTAGACCACAAAGCAAACACTCAAACATGCATCAGAAATCTCTGAGAGCAGATAGTGTTTCTACATTCAGCCTAGGGGTGTGCGATATATATCGTCTGCGATAATATTGTAATAGTTGTTTTAACAATGTGCTATTTGACAAGAGTATATTGCAAAAACCAAACAAAACACACCTACAGAGCGCACGCTTACATTACGTGATGAAGTCTAGTAGGTTAGACTAGTGCGTGCCGAATTTAGAGTATGTTCTTTCATGGCATGATTCGGTCTAATAAAATGCATTTAGAATGAGTTAATCAATAATATAGTTATATAGTTAATCAATAACCAAAAGTCAAATGTGATATTGATTTTATACAACAGTTCAATAAACATATAGTTCATAGACACCATATTGCCTGTTTTTGCACCATTTCGGCAACAAAAATCATTCCAAACACAGCCACAGCACAGTTTTGTGTCTCTGAGCAACATGATGGTGTTTCGTTCCTGAATGAATCTGTCACGGCGCGGTCAGGAAAGACACCGTGTGAACGAGGGTTTTGGGTTGACTTGCTGCCACCTACTGGCGGTTTTAATTTCACATTTAAAAACTAAACATATAGTTCATAGACACCATATTGCCTGTTTTTGCACCATTTCGGCAACAAAAATCATTCCAAACACAGCCACAGCACAGTTTTGTGTCTCTGAGCAACATGATGGTGTTTCGTTCCTGAATGAATCAACCGTTTAAACGATTCGGTTCAATCGCAATGACTCACTTATTAACAGTGACTTGCTGCCACCTACTGGCGGTTTTAATTTCACATTTAAAGTATCTTTTTTTATATAATTTCAAATAAAATCAGTATTCAACATTTTATGTTTAAAATATCAAGACATTATTCATGCACATGTAACTGCAGGTTAAAGCACCGCATGCCCCTCAGAGCTGCATTAAACAGTGTGTAAATGCATCTAAACGCCACTTCAGATGCAGATTCTGTGTTTCCTCTGCATTGATTTTATTTGTTTGGTAACAGCCCAAATGTCTTATTATTCTAATTGACTGTAAATGTAAGAATTTGACTCAAAAGATGATGCACACTTTTAGAAAAATGGCTAAAAATGCCCATTAATGGTATAGATCAATTCAAACTTATTGAAAAGGATTAATTTCTATCACCATCACACAGAATATGAATAATATCAAAAGCTGTAGGAGTCAGCTGTCCACGATAGTCCTTAAGACACCAGCACAATAACACACTCAGCAAAATATCATCTAATTATCATTATCGATAAAATCCCAGAAAATATTGAGATTTTTTGTGTCAACGTCTCACACCCCTAACTCAGCCTGATTCATTAGCACGTCGTTTACTGTCATGCATAAGCAGATTTTCAGGCAAACGACTGCAGGATGGAGGAGGTTTAACACAGAACCGGATCGTTGATTGATAAACCAGAAACAGCATCAGGCTGAGCGTGTGAGAGCTCCACACCCATCCAGAGCCGTACAGGAGAAGATCTGGCTCAAATATGAGCAGACGGATCAAATACGAGCGCTCCCAGATGGTTTGTTAATGAACTAAACCAGTGCCAACTAAAAAACAGAGCTGCTGAGAGTTCCTGTCGACAACATGTCCGGGTCACACTTCACCCCACAGTGAGATTAAAAACTAATTATACTTTGCTTTTAATAACAATCATCATTTTATTTCCTTTCTCACTATATCTGGCTTCAATTAGAAGCTGGTTAATACTTAAATAATATTTTTATTGTGTTGCTTTGTATTATGATCCATCCAGTGTTATTTTACTTTATATATTGTTTTTTTGTTGTTGCATAACATAATATTTTTCTTGTGAACATATAAGTAAAAAGAAATTTTATGTACCTTATGTAAGAAATGCTTTGTAAGAAAAAGTTTTAAGTAACTTAAGTAAAATTAGAATTATTTGGCAAGATGTTTAATTGTCATGAAATTAATGTATTCTATGTAATCCAATTTTTATTGTTTTAAATGGCTCAAACGTAATGGTTTTAAAATGTAAAATATTATACATTACACTAGCACTTGATGTATTGCATTTAGTATATGCTAATTTCAATTAAATATATTACAGTATTTTTTTTGTTTTATTACAGTAATGAAAGCATAATCAGAATAACCACTGAGGATAATAAAAATAATAATATGGTTATTATTATAAGGAGAATTTAAGGAGTAAATGTGTTTAATTATTGTGAAATTAAATGTGTAAATGCATTTTAAATATATATATATATATATATTTTAATAATATAATTAAATTAAACATATGGAATTAAATATACATACGTATATATAATTTTAAATTATATATCTTTTATTATACATATTTTTATATTAGATAATAAATGTGTTTGTCATTAATGCAAAATGCAAAAATATTATAGATATTTTAATTACAAAAACATATGTAACATACATATTATATAAATTACAAAAAAAGAAAATATTATGGCAATGTAGTTTTTACTAATTATATATAATTTTTAGTTTCACAGGTCAGTACGACTCAAGCAGCCTCATAAAAATGATACAATAATTAATAAAATAGTAATAAACATTCAATAAAAAAGTATTGTCATGTTTTCAGATTTACTGTATATATAGATATATGGTTTCTCTCAAAATACCGTGTGTTCACCATCTGTGGTGTTGCATCCAGTGCAAACATGCAGCCGAAGCACAGAAACGCAGGAGCATGCTGGGATGGCAGAGGTCACACAGGGCACATACTGTATGCATTGAGCAGCTGGTAACATGCGTGAAGCACAGCACCGCCAGCAGGTGAGCGTCATCTCACACACTCGCTGCTAAATTAATTTTACCCACGGAAAGCCACCATACGGCCACATTACAGCTCTTTAATCTGTATTGATCACCACATGGAGTCTGTTTGAAGCTAAAACACACAGCCTTCTGAAAATTAGTCTAATAAACAAATAAAAGCAGATAAATGCACCCACTATTACAGAACATAATGTTACATCCATATGATGTAATTTCATCTTACATCATTTTTTGGTAGAAGTAAAAGTGGGCGGTTGCTATATGCATTTATCTGATACAAGAAAAACAGTCAAATGCTGAAATATTATTACAATTTAAACTAGCTGTTTTCTATGTGAATATCTGTTATACTGTAATTTATTTCTGTGTATTTTCAGCATCATTACTCCAGTCTTCAGTGCCACACGATCTTCAGAAATCAGTATAATATGCTGCTTTGCAGCTCAATTAGTGTCAGTTATTCTAACTTTTCCACAAAACATGGCTTTCACAAAAATATTGGGCAACTGTTTTCAACATTGATAATAATCAGAAATGTTTCTTGAGCAGCAAATCAGCATATTAGAATGATTTCTGAAGATCATGTGACACTGAAGACTGGAGTAATGATGCTGAAAATCACAGAAATAAATTACAGTTTAACAGATATTCTTATAGAAAATTGCTATTTGAAATTTTTACTATATACACAGACAGTATATAAAGTGTTAGAGGTTTCATCTTCACTAGCAGCACTATTTCTAGTGATGATGGACTGAACTTTACTAAAGCGGTGAAATCCAATGCAGTGCTGCCACCTACTGTCCACTAACAGAACTGCAGCAGTCTTTCACAGCCTGGGGCAAATGATGAAGGTGCATTAAAGTGAATAGAGGCATTAATATATAATCAGCCCTCGGGTTTCTCTCCTCCTCACATCTCTACATTACACAGAGCTTTGATTCAAACACATTTCATTTTCTTCAATGTGTCGTTCAGTTTTGTGGGCTCCCGAGGACAAATGTGACGATGAAAAATGGATCGAAAAACTGAATCAAGAGGGATATGTGGCCAGAAGGTGCAATCTTATCTATTATTTATCTCCAATAAATAAATATTAGAAATGTCCAGATCTTCTGTCACAGATGGGTGTTGTGTGTCAGTGTCTAACGGCTCTATAAAGGCGTGTGTGTCTGTCATGTCACATAATCTCATATAAAAAAAATCTCATAATTATTTTTAAATGACTGAACCGACCCTGAGTTTCATTAGTGCTGCTTTAAGGTTTTCGGGTGGAATGACCAGTGCTGGGGAAAAATACTTTTAAAAGCAATGCATTACAATATTGCGTTACTCCATAAAAAAGTAACTAATTACGGTACTTAGTTACTTTTTATGGAAAGTAATGCATTACGTTACTTTTGCGTTACTTTTTAAATCTGGACAGGGCTTGCTTGTTTGTTTTTAAAATAAAAAAGTTATATTTTTGGCAAATATAAAAGCCTTTCACACCAAAAGTGAAATGAATAAGCCTCAGGCTGAAGGGAAAGTACAGTAGAATGCAGAAGAAGACATTTCAACACTTCAGCAATAAACAAAGACACACAGATGTTCGTCTAGAGTAATGTGTGCTTATTAGTACGCTTGAACTGCATCATCGAAGCTCAGAAGCAAATAGAATGGGATTAAATACATAAAGCATATTTGTGTTGTTTAACATTTCATTATTGCAGGTTTGCGTCATATTCTGAGTTGCATTATTTTATTAATTTTGAGGAATACTGAATCTGTGTGGGTTTCTTTTTGTGAGTGAGATGAATTAATGCATATTCATATTTATTTTAGAACTACAGTAGCATCTTCTGATTTCTCTCAGCATGAGGACAGGAGAGCTGTCAGTCAATCAATTGGAAAAAAAGTAACTTGCGTTACTTATTTGAAAAGTAATGCTTGTAAATTAAAAAGTAATGCGTTACTTTACTAGTTACTTGAAAAAAAGTAATCCGATTACATAACTTGCGTTACTTGTAATGCGTGATACAGCTCCATCTACAATTAACAATTATTATTATTATTAAATAAAACATATTACATATAATACAAAAAAACTAATAATAAAATGTTAATAAATAACTGCATTTACTATTATTATTATTATTATTAAATTATATTTTAAAAAACATAAACCAAAGAGTGAAAAATTTAAGGGGGTCTGAATACTTTCCGTACCCACTGTATATGTTGCTCGATCAGGACATTAAAAATATACTTTGGGGCTTTTTAACCGCCGTCAAACCCCCCTCCCAAATCTAAAACATGGCCACCCTAACTAAACAATACTTTCGGACTGAATTCTTTTTAGAGTTTACACAGAAAGAAATGCAGTTTTATAAGAGACGTCACTGACTTTTTGCGACAGTATTGAAATTAGTCTCTTCTGCTCACCAAGGCTGCATTTATTTGATCAAAATACAATAAAATGGTAAAATATTATTAACATTTAAAGCAGCTGTTTTCTATGTGAATATGTGTTAAACTGTAATGTATTTCTGTGATGCGCAGCTGTATTTTCAGCATCATTCCTCCAGTCTTCAGTGTCACATGATCTTCAGAAATCAGTACAATTTGTTTATTTGCTGCTCGAGAAACATTTCTGATTATTATCAATGTTGAACACAGTCGTGCTGCACAATATTTTTGTGGAAGCTGTGATGCATTTTATTTTTCAGGATTCAGATGAATAGAAATTTCAAAAGAACAGCATTTATTAGAAATAGAAATCTTTTCTAACGTTATAAACGTCTTTACTGGCACTTTTGATGAATCCTCGATTAATTTCTTGCTTCCTTAAGACTTACTAGAGTGTAAATAAGCATGTGAATGCTTCCTGGAAACATAGAATTGTTAATAGAATCAGAATTATGTTCCTCTGGAAGTTTGATCCTATCAGTCACTTCTAAATCCCTTCTGTGCCATTTCAACAGTCAGAGTTCAGGAAGAAAAGAAACCAGAGGAAAGAAGAGACACATCAGATGCAGAAATACGACAGAAAAGCTTTATTGGAAGATTCAGAGAGAAACACTGCAGCATCAGAGCCGCGAAATAATTTATATATATATATATATATAAGTTGTATTATGAAATACAGATAATTCATTCATAATTTTATTATATAATCATTTATATCAAAATAGTGTTATTTGTTTTTCATTAATATAATTTTTGTAACCAATTTATATTACTTCAAATTATAGAACAGTATTATTTAAGAACATGTGCGTTCAGACAACAGCCCTGATTACCCACGATCCCATTTTATTCCTAGCAATTTCCTTGAATGCCAGGAAGGTTTAAGCACAGACTGATCAGACAGAGCAACATCAGATATGATGAGAACGACAGCAGAACTTACTTCTTCCCCGGCTGGTTCTCCTGAGCTTGCTCTAGAGGAGAGACGCGAGAAACACTTTCAGCTTGAGCTGTGAAGCTGATAGGAGTGTAAATGAAGGGCTGAATGAGTGTGTACCATTCTCTGTGCCGGTGATCTGTGCCAGGATGCGGAAGGAGCGCGACTGAGACGTGCCGGTGCGCGGATGCCAGTCCTCCGTGTCCTCGATCACACGCTTCTTACTGGCATCACTGAGAGCTGAGACGTGATTCCCCTCCGGCTCCAGCACGGGCTTACGAGCGGTTCTGAGACACACAGACACACACACACACACACACACACA